AAAATACCCGATTTTTGTAAAATTACAGATAAAAATGATTATAAATTATGTATACATGTAATCTATGCATATATTATATGCAAAATTTTGAGGGTGTATCTACTCTTTCAATAAATAATCGAATGCATTAATAATTTACTGGAGGCACCGGGCAATTCGGTAATTTGATTTTAAGTTGACGATCCACCGTCATTATACCCCAATGTGTTTCCATATCACTGCCAGTAATAATTTTCCATGGTTCATCGAAAGCCTCAAAGAAGTAATATGGAACTTGTCGTCGATTAGCCTCACACACAAAGGTGTCAGCTATAATTTGCAGATTTGGCACCGAGGCCACAGCTCCTTGATTAGTTCCATTTGCTGTCGGCCATCCGACCTCAGAGATTATCGCCGGTTTCGGTAAGGCGGGTGTTGCATCTGTTTGATTGAAATAGTTAAAAGTCCAGTTGGCACCTTGTTGTGCCGACACTCCGGCAAAGAATGGATGAACATTCGCGAGTACTATGTCGGTGGCTTGGATCATCGCCGGACTTATGTTTGATCCAAGATCGGAAGTGACTACTTTTATTTTTGAAAGATTCATTTGTTGTAATGTCGCACGAAAGTCCATCATACGTTGAAACAATACTTGAGGTGTAACATCTTTTCGAAATAATACTTCATTACCAATTGAAACAGCTTCAATGTTACCGTCATTTCCGTATGTTTTCAAAGTATTTAGCATACTATTGTATTGACGTTGGAATGTTGTGTCATTTGAATCCACCCAAACAGTAAGGATTACCGTCATTTTAACGTTGAGCAATTTAATTGCCTGCAACACCAGGTCCGCCTGTTGACAATCCTGACCATACAGACGAAGTCGCGGTGTCAACTGGGACAAGATCTTTAGGTCCTCTGTAATATTGGCCAATGAAGCACCACACCACGGGTATTGTGTGTTCAACGGTGTATATCCAATTCCATAGAACGACCGACTGTATCTCGGGTCGGGAATAATTGTGGTATTATCCGGTGCTTTTCCATCCACTGCGCCATTTCCGGTCGGTGCACTACTCACACCTGGGTATTTTGGGGGCGTACGATGTGTATAATAATATCCGATCGCACCCACGATCAATGTCACTAATATCAGTCCTATCGTTAATAAGATTAGATGTTGTCGTCG